TTTTTTTATTTTTTTTAAATCTCACTCTGAAAGTACAAAGGCCAAAATAAACAATTAAATATTCTTAAATGTAGAGGATCTAGGTTCTTCTAATTGTGTTATTATACAAGAAGTACTAATTGCGACATAAAAACAATAAATTAATGAATAAGAATAATGCCAATTCATAACTAATGAGAAGACATCAACATTGAAAACGATTACACCTAATAAAGTGATATAATCATTATTACAGATAAGATTGCTTCTGGGTCCCAAGCATTTTCGTGATTATACCATTAACACTGTCATTTTTAGTAGAAAAAATGAGAGAACTTGGTATTAAACACAAACGAGTTAGTTCATCGTATTTTTTAAAATAGAAGGCATATTATTTATGATATAAAACTTTATATTCTATATCTTTTAATATTTTATCACTACAAGAAAATGATGAAATTTCAACGGAAATATATTCCAATAGAATTCCAACGACAATTTCAATAAATATTTCAATGTTATTATTTCTGTTGGAATAATTCCAACGAAAATTCCTGCAAAAATATTCTGTTGGAATGAGTTTTCCATTGGAATTTACGTTGGATTTTGACGATTTCAACGGTAGATATTTTCAATGGTGGTGGAAATAAAAATTCCAACGAAAATTTCAACGGTGAAAATCCGTTGGAAATATAGCCGTTGGAATCATCAAATTCCATCTAAAATTCCAACGAAAAATACATTCCGACGAAATATTTTCGTTGGAATTGGAATTTTCATTGGAATATATTACCATAGTGATATGGGATATTATATACCTAAGGAATAAATCGGTTCATTAGGTCGGTCGTACAAGCCCAATGTCGGAAATGCCATATCGGTCGAGCAATAGCAGACTGAAGGGAAGTGGTCGAACATCGCAGCAGATCTGGTCGATCCTCGACCTACTAAAGGAGAGCTCACTTGGTCGACCACTCAGCGAGTGAAAAGCAATCGGGGGCGTGGTGTAGATGCTAGGGAGTGCGTGGCCTTGTTCGGGAATTCTCAAAGAATATTAAAGGGAATAATTACCCTCTGCTCAGAAGGGCACGTGGCGAGAGTACATTGGTGCAGAGCGATAGTGGCGATAACTACCTCCGACACACACTCACACTGTGTGTGTACGGACGGGCAGGTCCGGGAAGCGCTGGGCAGACAGCTCATCAAATCCGGGCAGCTTCTAGGACAGGTATCTCACTCCTATATATATAGGAGTGAGCCTTTCTTGTTAAGCACGATTTATCCATTTTTACTCTTGAGAATTGAGTGAAACAGATACCGACTTAAGCATCGGAGGCTTTTCACCGGAAAAAGCCCCCATTGTGAGAGTTCTTTGCAGATAGGCGGCGTTCTACCGGCGAGGAGGAGGAAGACGAGCCGATTTCAAGCCTGTCGGAGTGTTTTGCGTTACCACATATGATTTTCTGTTGGAATATAACAATTTTTTTTGTAGTGTATTTTTGTAAGAAAATATACATATTCAATAAAAAAATTATTGCACAATATTTGTTTCTAGACAATTCTTTGCCATTTGTGGAGGGTAAAACCTTTTCTTCAAAAGTCATAAATTTATTTAACTTTGGTGTGACACCAAGTATTACATTCTGGTGGACGTTTTAGGTTAAGGAACAGTGACTTGGCTTATAAAAAAAATGTGTCCCAGATTTATTCTCTACTCTAAAAGTTTTTGTAGGTACACTAGTAAACCCTACATATTTTTAGCATAAAAAGAAAAAAAAAATATATTTTAATCAGTACATTACCTCCAAGCTATTCAATTTTAGTCAAAACTAAATGTTACTAAAAATAAAAGGCTTATTTTTATAATTAAAAATGTTTGTATAAGTAAATTGTCTATATTTAAGTATATAAAAACCAACTTTAATTAATTATTTATTCTTTTATATATTTACCCAATTCTTTTCTTGTTTATTTTTCCTATGAAAAAACATATTTTGATAGGTAAAACATCAGTGTTCAAGTAAAATTGACACCCTATGCTATGTTATCCTTTTCTTAAGCAAATAATAAAAACAGAACAAGTTATCTTTTTTCCCTTCTTATAATTTCAGTTTCAGTACTAAAGAGCACATATAATTAGAATGGGCTAAGGAGTTTCTTTTTTTTCTTTTTTTTTAAAGAATAAAATGGGCTGATTTTTTTATCTACTTGAAATAGGAAAAAAGGTTGTCTCAATTTAAAAATGTCATGTATTGTTTCACAAAATCGAATGTAGGTTAATAGACATAGGACGTTTCATAATTTATACTCTAATAAATGAGAAATCTATCCACTCTATCTGTACTTGAGCTGATATTTGAGTATGGACTCGAACTTTTATTGAATCTAAAATCAAAAGAGAGTTCTTTCAAGAAATGAGAAATCTATCCATTCTATCAATACTTGAGCTGATATTTGAGTATGAACTCGAACTTTTATTGAATCTAAAATCAAAAGAGAGGTCTCTCAAGAAATGAGAAATCTATTCACTCTATCTATATTCGAACTCATATTTGAATATGGACTCGAGCCTTCATCAAATTTAAAATAAAAAGTGAGATCTCTTAATATATGCTGAATAAAAAATCTATTCACTATATCTGTACAACGCTTCTCAGTGTTGTCAATCATCTATCTACTCAGATATTTTTAATTACTACTCACCTACACATATATTTAACTACATATCATTTTTAATTATCTATCTCATACTTTTACACACATTAATTTTAATTATTATATTTTAAGTATTATTTAAATACAAATTCAAAATATCCTTCAATCTTTCTTTCAATCAACTTTTTTAAATATTAGTTTACTTATAATCAATAAATTCAATCAAAATTGATTTTATATATATCGCATCAGCAGGAGAGTCTCCATTCGTTTAACATTATCACTAGAAAACAATAAGAAACATTTGATACACAAAATATATAGAGCAAAATAAGTAGTGGGATCATGGGGTGTGCAATTACAACAACTTTTAAGTTTTTTTTTAAAACAAATTAAGTTTTTAAAAAAAAAAAAAAAACTTTAAAAAGCATCCAAGAAGTGGGAATTGAACAACACAAAAAACATGCTAACCGTTGGCTTGGGGTAAAAAGGGAAAAAGACATGTAACCGTTGGGATTGCCCTTCACATGGCCTTGCTGTCTCTTCACAGTTTCTCTCTCTTCCATTTTTCATTTTCCTTTTCCTTATTCTTTTTGAAAAAAAATTATTTATTGTTTAAAGTTTCCAACTTTCAATCTAGCTAAAATTGTAAGGAGTTAAGCTTCAACTTATGATACTCGACTTCCTATCGAATTGAACTCGATTTAGCTTGCCAAATTAACGAACCTAATGGACTTTAAAGAGTTGAACTTCAATCGTAACTGATCGATATATAATAAAATTTTAAGACTTATGTAAAAGTATATATTTATAAAGTCTAACAAACTTTAATCAGAACTCGAGAATTTTNATGAATCAGAACTCTCCGAATCAAACTGGTTTAATTTAAGAACAATAATTATACTTAGTATGACAACAATTGAAAATTCGAATAATTCGTCCAGAACTTCAATTAATTAATTCTAACCCCATGACATCATTTAATTACGAACTGGCCCCTACAATCTTTATATTCCGACAATACCCTTGCCTTATCCACAAATCCTCCTCCTCTTTATAAAACTCACGCCCTCTGCAAAGCCATCACTTCACNAAAAAAAAAAAAGCTGAACGAAAATTCAAAGCAGAGAAAAAAGTAGCTAAGTTAAAAGAGAGAGACATTGTAGAGAGAGATGACGAAGGAAGTGAGCGAGGAGCCTCCGATCCACGGCAAGGACTACGTGGACCCGCCGCCGGCGCCGCTTCTCGACGTCGGCGAGCTCAAGCTCTGGTCCTTCTACCGAGCCCTCATCGCCGAGTTCATCGCCACGCTCCTCTTCCTCTACGTCACCGTCGCCACCGCCATCGGCCACAACAAGCTCCACGCCGCCGACCAGTGCGACGGCGTTGGAATCCTCGGCATCGCGTGGGCATTCGGCGGCATGATCTTCATCCTCGTTTACTGCACCGCCGGGATCTCAGGTTCCCCCCAAAATTTCAACTAGAAACACTAGATTAACAAAATCTCGAGATTACTTTACTGATTTCCCCCCTTTTTTTCCCCTTTCTGCTCTGTTGATTTCAGGTGGTCACATCAACCCGGCCGTGACGTTCGGGCTTTTCCTCGCCCGGAAGGTCTCCCTGATACGGGCCGTTCTGTACATGGTAGCGCAGTGCCTTGGCGCGATCTGCGGGGTCGGCCTGGTGAAGGCCTTCATGAAGAGCTACTACAACAGCCTCGGCGGCGGGGCCAACTCGGTGGCCCACGGCTACAACAAGGGAACCGCGCTTGGTGCGGAGATCATCGGCACCTTTGTGCTCGTCTACACCGTTTTCTCCGCCACTGACCCCAAGAGAAGCGCGCGTGACTCTCACGTCCCGGTAAGTGAATAGTAATTAGTAGTTACTACAGTAAAGCTGTACAGTTACACGTAGATCTGTGTGTGATGAAAATTATTTTGGTTCATTAAATGGAGAAATTGTGTTTGTCCGTTGGTAATTCAGGTCTTGGCTCCACTGCCGATTGGTTTTGCCGTGTTCATGGTACACTTGGCCACCATCCCCATCACCGGCACCGGCATAAACCCGGCGAGGAGCTTTGGTGCGGCTGTGATCTACAATAACGACAAAGTTTGGGATGACCACGTATGCTTTTTTTTTTTTTTCCGTTTTGAAGTATTTTCCTTGTCATAGTTTCTACTTTGCTAGTAGAGGGCTTTGATACTTTAATGATAGAACTCTCATTAATTAAACCAAAATTTTGATGCTGCAGTGGATTTTCTGGGTTGGGCCGTTTGTGGGAGCATTGGCAGCGGCGGCTTACCACCAATACATACTGAGGGCTGCGGCCATTAAGGCCTTGGGATCCTTCAGAAGCAACCCAACAAATTAAGCCCATGAAAAGAATGACCCAAGTGTGAAGAAAATTATGAATTGAATTGTGTTCTCATTATTATTATGTATGTGAATTATTTATTGCTACTATTTGTTATGTTTGTTGGCTTTGTGTAATGAGAAGAGAATGTTTAATTATGAGCTTTATTTTGTTGCCTTAATTTCTACAGTTCATTTTCATTTTCCTTCGTGTGTTATTTTCGTTTCCCTTTATGTGTTAGCTAGCCTGTTTATTAGCTAGCTTGTTAATTTTTTTTTTACTACATTCTATGAGTGTGGTTGATTAAATGGTGAAAGAATGGATGAACTTTCATATTGCCTAGGCGTGTCTAATCTAATGATAAATATATGATTGAACTCAGTGTGGCACAATAATAAGTGATGAGATCAATTACTTCATTGATTTTTAAAAAGAAAAAAATAGTTACTTTTTGTAAAAATATGAAATAATAGATCTTTATTAAAACCAATTACGGGATCTAAAGGTAATTTTGTCATTTCACAAGACAAAATGTATGTTATTTTTTCATACTTATACAAAAAAAAAAATAAAAAAAAAATGATTATATTCTATCTTTGCATTTACTACTTGCTATAAAACCAAGTGACTACAAATTTTTTCATATTTACCAAATTGTGTTGGTTTGTAAGGAAAATTTGGTGAGTTCATTGACCTCCGTTACGGATTTCCCCACATTCACCACATCGGGAACTTCTATTTTCACAATTAATTTACTATAGTAGATGGTGAATTTTTGTGCCTTAATTTTCAACCTTCACTAACTTTCAACGTAACTAAAAGGTAAAATATAAATAAAAGATTTTTGTCATGTTATGGGTAAAGGAACAGTAATATAATCTACCTAGCCTAATATGGCTATAAGTACTGTTTGTTGGCACCTACAGGAAAATGACATGAGACACATTGCCAATGGGGCTGACAGCTTGTGCTTTGCCTTTATTTTGGCTGTGGTCCATACAATAATTTTCATTTCATATAAGGCTGGTATGGTTAGAAAGTTTGTTTGGCTTCATTGTATTTCAATTACTATCCATACAATTTGAATCTAGCACGTTACACTAATAATAATTAATAACTTGTTTGGTGATTTAAAATTTAGTTTATTTGGGATGCTTGGATATAAGTTTGTTTGTTTGGNAAAAAAAGAGAAATAATAAAGACAACTAAGAATATTATATCTGTATGTCTTTTAACAGACATCAAATCAAAAATCAGCCCACAGCATTAACCATTTTTCATTAAGCCACAAATGAACAATGGGTCAACTTCATATCAATTATCAAGGGCCCATTTAACCGGAAAAAGAAAAAGATTTCACAATTCTTACAGAAGTTCAGTAAAACTTATAGGACATAAACATGGGTATACATCTTAACCATGTACCTTAATCCGGCAGAGCAGTACCCCTCTCAAGATTGTTCTTGATCTCGAGCGTGTACTTGCCAAAAGCACGCTCAATCTTCTTATTGAAATGTTCATTTCGATCGTTGATAGAGTCGATATCCTTTTCTTCACGGAACTTTCTCCTTCGGCTAAAAGACCTTGACTTTTCCTCCCGATCCTTGAGCTCTTTGACCATGAGGTCAATCTTATCCTCGGATATCTTTGGAGCCTGTTAAAGAATCACAATAATAAAAGGATTAAGGGTGTGATTGGATATGAATTTGATTGGTTGTTTTATAATCATAGTTAATTTTGAAAAAATGTGGTATGGTTAGTTGTTAGTGGGTATATTAAATAACATTTTTGTAACTGAACCCCAAGATAATGGTTGCGTGCTTGGAAAAGGTATTCTAAAATGCTTACTTTTCCATATTGAAGACTTGAAGCCTCACGGTAGAATTCTGGATCTGCTTCTTTCATTTTGTTGTACTCCTCGAGGTTTACGTTGATATTCTTTGTTCTTTTCTTATATGCGTTATATAATGTTTTTTGATTGAAAACTGCAAGAGAACAAATGTCAGATTGCATGAGAACAAAGTGCACAACACAACACAGAAAGGCCAAAAAAGAAACTCTAAATGAATCCAAGCCCGGAAATTCCCACAAAGTAGAAATAACATTACTTAGTACATCAAAAGGTCTTCCAAAAGTTAGAAAAGATGGTATTTCAGGAACAAAATGGTAGAATTATATCAAGGTATATCACAAAGTAACCTATAAAGGTGGGTTGTTTAATGGGGACACTACTCGATCAATTCAGTATATGTGAACACGTATATCTCTTGAAGGAGCTTATTATATATGATTGAATTGGTTATAAGAAAACATCTTTCTACCAAATCGAACTTTCATCCCTACACTTATTCATGAAATTGCAACTACCGGTTACGAGACCATTTTAATTAAATCATATAATATCAGTTCAGTATTCATAGCAGTTAATGTCTGAAATACACGAGTAGCTCAACAACTTGTGTCATATCCAAATTCCATTGAGTATATCATGAGAGTCTCAGGTGTTTCACAATCAAAAACATGAAAAGAACTAGGAACAAAAAACANCAGATGCATAATTTGTTAACTGAATATATTTTCAATAATTAAAGACTGGCATGAACCGAATTTGTAGAGGACACGAACACAAAAAGAATTGTAAGTAGGGAATATACTCCAATGGGGAAAAACTGTAACTAAACTACCTAAAGAATATTAGGATAAATAACAACGTAAAAAGATCAGTCACTCACCATCCCAACCAGCAGGAGCAGGCTCTTTCTCCCATTTCTTGTACTTTGACTCAGCCATCTCTTGTGTATCGAGCATATATGCTTTGCTCATGTCTAATCCATTGGCATCCAAAAGCCTCCCGATTTTCTTCTTCCTTTCCTCCAGCCATTTTTGCTTCGAAATTCCTCTAGGTTCTGTCGGGGCTTCTGACTTCTTCTTTTCGGCAACCATGGCAGTCTGATTGGCCTTTCTTGCCTCGTTCTACATGCATAAGGAGAAAATAGTATAAATGTTACAGCCAGCTGTCCACAATGAAGAAAGTTTATCATTTGTTGATGACTAAGAAAATTGGTGCAGATATTATGAGGACTTTTTAGTTTTTACCATCTTCAATCTCAACTCAAACAACTTCTTTTGCCTGCCCGTAAGATTGGGCATGATTTTGGCCGGGTCATCCTCACCGTCACTACCAATTTCCTTATCAGAATAATCGTCACCGTCATTACTTATGACATTCACGCCTTCTACTTGGTCAGGTGCAGTAATTTTATCCAACTGTAAATTATCATCAACAGCTCGCACACCTACTAATACAGTACATAAATCAGTAAAATCACAAGCCTTATAAAATCAGTACTAAACATGCCCATCCAAATACCCCATATATGCATAAATTTAAGAGAACGTGGCACTAACAAGAAAATAAATGGGAACAATCTGACACCGATTTACATTTTCTCGCCTGATCTCAACGCACAAAAGTCTATTACCCTTCTCAGTTCTCGACATAATATCTCTAAACTATTGTGATTAAGAAGTTCCAAAGTTTTCTTCGTGATGGACTAAGCTCACTCCAAAAGTGAGAAGTTTAATCAATTTTCCATTAACCACGTGACCCAATTCCATTATTACCATCACCATCATCATATATCTACACAAAATCATTCAACCATGTGTTCCAACTCATGTCTTCCAACACTAATATCTCGTCCACCCTAATAAAAGCTTGAGGACAAGAACAATTTTGAAGTAAGAGTAGCAAAAGCAGCAAGAAACCAACCTGCGTCATGTTTATCCACCGTTTTCTTTGCTTGAGCAATAATCTTGAAGCAATAATCGCTACATTCGTGATACGGGTTCGACGCATTCCTGCAGTCCGGATGAACCCTACCGTCTTCAGCCATAGATTTTCCCAAATCAACGTTCTCCGAACAGAAGTAAATTCAAATACCTAAAGAAGATAACACGAAAAAATTATGCCAATTTAACCCTATCTAACCCATTAGTTCAAATTAATTGCAGGTACATTAAGCTAATTTAGGTGTTAATAATACCTGTGAATTCTACGGATGAGCAGAGAGCGGGAGATTTAGGGTACCAGCTTAACAAGGACTGAGAGGAAGAAAAGATGCAATTGGTACCGATCAAAAAAAGAAGTAGCAATTGGGGATTTTTTATTTTTATTTTTCAATATATTTTTTCAGAAGAACGATTTTTTGGGGAACACCTATATTGGGCTAGGAAGATACGAGTCCACGACTAAAGTGGAGGGAACTCCTATTAGTATAGGCCCAATAAAGCCCAACAAACAAATATAAAGAGCCCCTAAGCAGTCAATGACCCAATCAGACACTGTAGTCACGAGACATTACAATATCGAATATTAATAAAAATAAATTCGATTTAAAATTTAAAAAATATGAATAAAATTTAAATATTTTATTTTAAAATTAAAAAAATTAAACTGCATTATTATTAAAAATGACGCGTGTTACACATAAGAGTCAATCACATTATATTACAACAATTTTCTAATGCATACATATAATAAGGTCGGTAAATATATTTATTATTTTCAACAATGATTGATATATATAATTTAATGGTCCTAATGAATAGAAGTTCATATATACCTACATGTACTGCTCCAAAATATTAAAAATTGATATATGGTAATAGTCATGAATATAAGTTCATCAATACGAACCACCAAACTTTGACAATTATTCTTGAAAACTTTGCGTTTATAATAAATAGAGTAGATGTAATCCAATTATTCCATTCGTGTATTGAGACGCATCACTTTTTTTGAAACTATACAAGCAAAAAATCAAAATGACATTACATTCTCCATAGGGAAATTTGTAAGCGAAATAAAGCTTGGCTTGTGAAGGCACGAGTCTATGCTACCTATGCATTCAAACATGTCGATACTTCTAGAAACCTTGTCCCTTTCCGAATAGTAGAACAAGAAGTAATCGTCCCACACCATTAACACATCGCCATTTCCGAAAACTTTCACCGGCCGAACGACTTCATTACATTCCCCGTCAAGATCCGGTCGTTTGCTCATCACGTACTCCTTAGCCCATGACTTCTCGTCTTCGTACTCCCTCATCAGCCAAATTACGATTTCGTCCTCAGACGTATTGTCCCATATACACAAACGATCACCCAGCACGAACAAATCCCCGAGAAATCTACTTCTACTCGGTATCACATTGCATAGAATCGTAAACGTGCGAAAGAGTTCGGTTTCAAGGTCGAAGCAAGAAATCCAACACGCCCCCTCTAAATCCACCACCAACCAATGGAGATTCCCGTTCAAGAATGTTAGTGTTATATACTGAAAGCTTGGCTTTGCATGTTATTACACATTTACCCTTTATGAATGAGAATCATGTTAGATTAAACAAGTTCTACGTTCTGTTGTTCTGCACTTAGATAGGGTGGGTCGTCATCGGGCGAACCGAAGATCACTCTATCAGTCACTTGCGAACAAGAATAGTTGTTCACAACCTAGATGGACATGAACACCCCATCCGAACGGTTGTAGTGTCAACTGTACAGTTTGTCTTGACTGATTAGTTGCACTAGTACATTTATGTATTGAACAGGATCCCAGAGAGGAGAAGTTCATTTTATACTGATCGTCGTAAATGAACTAGGCCTCGGTTAATTACTGCGTTCTCTTAACCCGTAAGATATTAAACAGGCAGATATATATAATATATATTACTTTGATTCACATGGGTGAGGTTCAGTTCGCTGGATTAATATTCCTACTGTTTTGGGTAATATTATTATATATAGGATGTGCTGTTAGGATATTTACGGTCACCATGTGCGTTAGTTTGATGATGTCCCCGGAGTGAGTTCATGAAGGATTGTTATGCTAAACCCTGCAGGTGGATTAAATTCCGGCATAATAAGAATGTGATGAACGAGCGCTAGCTTCGGTGAAATAATAATAAATTAATTAATTCTTGATTGTCAGTAATCGAATTAATTAATGGACATTATATCTTAAACGTGGGGAGGTAAATCGAGTAATTATTATTGGAGTCTCAAATGTAATTTGGGCTAGGGAAAGGGAGTGCAATAATATAATGTTGGTGGCCCATTAATATTATTTAATTAATTAGAGGAGTGGGTTTGGCCCACAGTTAGTCTAATTAATTAAGGAGCCCTTTTCCTAATCTCCTTAGGGTCCCTACTGTAGCTCTATATATACATCATTAAGCTCATGAGAAGAAAACAGAAATCTCATATTCACGAGATATACGCCCCACACGTCTCTCTCTCTAGATCTCATTCGAGCTTTATCTTCTTCTTGTTGCTCCACTGGTACAAGTTGAAGAAGGGTGTATTGAGTAATACAGTAGAAGATCTGTAGGTTAACAGAGACGAAATTGATTTTGACCTACAGAACTAACCGGAAGTCCGATTGAGACGTACAGTATACCCAGACGACCGTCTCGACGAGAGCTTTCCATCGCCGCCGACGTCGCCGGAATCCGACGCCGCACGCGCCCTCACGCGCCGCCGGAAGGTGTCTGGCAGCAAAATCTCGTTTTGATCTGATTGCATCCGTTTGATCCAGTTTTGATCTGATCTTGTTCGTGCAACCCAAGACGCGTGTTGCGGTCAATCAATTGCGGTCAACCGTTCGTGGTCAACCAGATCTACATAAATTTTAAGCCGTAAGTTCTCTACGTCAAACCTTTAGATCCGCTGCGCATAGGTTTACGTTTGCTATTGAATTCGTGATTTGTACATAACGAGATCCTCACAGATCCCAACAAAGAAAGCGCCGGTCGATCGACAATTGTACTCCAATTTCACGTGATTGTGTGCGATTTGTCTCCACGATCCTATCCCGAGAGTGTACACGTGGCACTCAAATTTCGGAATATCTAATAAAGCTTTGGTGCTGGTGTCGCGCGTGCATTCGTGGAAGACTCTAACGGCGTTACATCGACCGGTTTTCGTGCTCACTCCGAATCCGTAGGTGACGTTCGTAGGATAAGAATAGAAGAAGTTTTCTTGGTTTTGAAGCTCGAGATATTCGCGCGTGATCGGGTTGCATATGTGGAGCGTATTAGGTTTGGTGTTCAAATCGCGCAAAAAGAGGAGCCCATTAGCCGAGCCTTGTATACATGTCTAGTGACTAATGAACGAGTCGTGGTCGAACTCGGTGACTAGATTGTAGTGATCGGGCTCATCGTTGAGTTCGAAAAATTTGAGTATTTTCGTGTAGTTCGACTCGAGCCACGGATTGTGGACTTACGGATTATTAATCCAGGGAGGGATTTAGATAAATGGGAATCGGCAAAATCGCGAGTCTCGAGTAGTTCGAGCCATGGCTTGCAGACGAGTTTGGAGGATATGATGGTTTTAATAGGGAGTCTTGAGAAGATGTTGATGATGATTTCTGGTGGAAGGTTTGGGAAAATTGATTCTTGGCTTATGTTTGGTATTGATGATGGTTTAGTTTCCTTTTTGTTTTGATAGGGAGTCTTGAGAAGATGTTGATGATGATTTCTGGTGGTGGAAGGTTTGGGAAAATTGATTCTTGGCTCATGTTTGGTATTGATGATGGTTTAGTTTCCTTTTTGTTTTCATTCTTGGTATGTGATTATATTGAAGGCAATCTATAGTTATAGATGGAATCTACAATCCTCTTGAGTTGTGCGCAAATATTTAGGTGTACCTAGGCACACCTAGCTAGGTGTGCCACAAATGAACATGTTATGTTACAAAATGAACATGTGCAAATCATGTTTGTACATGTTCATTTTGTAACATAATATGTTCATTTTAAACTGTCCTGACACACCTAGCTAGGTGTACCTAGGCACACGGTAGTAGCACTGTGAGTTGTGTGGTGTTGGTTTATTCCATCAACTAGGAAAAGTCTTGTGTGGTATGCCGCGTTGGACCAAGTATTCTTTCTTGCTTGGTGGGGACTTGATATGGAAATTATTTGAAAATTTATTGGTATGAGATTTTTTATTTTAATGCTAGAGAATTTGTATAAAATTAAACCGGTTTTGTTATGAAGCCAATAGTTCGCTCCATAGTGGAGTCAACCTTCTATATACAACAAGTAAACCTACCACATTAATAAAATTATATTAGTGTTATTTAAGTAATCAGCGAATATGGTAAGTTTACTTGTTATATATAGAAGGTTGGTTCCACTATGAAACCAACTGTTGGCTTCATAGCAAAACCGAAAACCTAATATATTGAACTTCATTTTTGAAGTTTGTCTAGTAAAATTTTACTAATTAAGCTTAGTTGGTAAGTAACTTATTTGATTAGCTTTTTTAGTTCAAAACCTTAATTAAAAAAAAAAAAAAACTCATCAATTTGTCTTGTTTGGTTATTAGATGGTAGCGAATAGCTGATTGTATCAACGAATCACTAATAGACGATCGTAATAGCTGATTTGACGAACATGTCAACATAAACTTTTTAAAATAGTTATACAAACTGTTATTATCTAACAACTAATATAATTTGCAACTATGACTCGCTAATTAAATCATCTATTAGAATAAACTAATACAATCATCTATTCGACATTTTCCATTCTTTAGAGGGTGATTGGATATGGATTTGGCGAGAAATATCCAATCACTTTTAACTCTGTTATTTTTTTAAACTAATTTTAACACAACTTTATAGTTCCCAATAAATATTATCAATATAACTAAATAATATTAATAAATCATCTTTACACATCACATCAATTTTAATTCACTATTCATTCACTCACATAATTTTAATTATCTATCACTTCAAATCATCTTTCTCATATTTTTAAATCAAATCAACTTTGATCATTTTATTTTAAATATTATTTTTAATACAAACTCAAAATCCCATTCAAACCTAACCCAATCACTTTTCTAAAATTAACTACAATTAACTAAAAAAATCAATCAAAATTCAATCAAATCTATATCTAATCACAACTTTATCAACTAATAATCAAATAAGATCTTAACTAATAATCAAATAGGACCTTACTTTACGTAGGTGACTAGGTTCAACCACGACTGGATTTTTTTCAAAATTTAACAAGACTTTGGTTGAAGCCCAAATAAATGAAGATGAAAGCCCATGACCCATGTCCATATTTCAAAACCCTAATTACAAAACCCCTTTTCTCACTCTATTCGCACCGCTTCATTCCGACGTACACCTCAGGCGGGTTCAATCGGAAAATGGTAGCCGGAAGGTTCAAGGAGCTATTAAAAAAGTACGGAAAAGTAGGATTAGGCGTACACGTCTCGGTATCGGCGGCCTCGATCACCGGCCTCTACGTCGCCGTCAAAAACAACATCGATGTTGAATCGTTGCTCGAAAAAGTTGGCTTGCCTGGCCTCGGCAAGGAGAAGGGTACCGGAAAAAGCTCCGATCTACCTCCGGACAATCTAGAAACTACGATTGATCGGACGGTGGAGAAGGAGAGGAACCGAACGGCGGAGCTGGCGGCGTCTAGCGGCGGTGCTCTGGCTCTGGCCGTGCTGATTAATAAGGCGCTTTTTCCGGTTAGGGTTCCGATTACGCTCGCGCTTACGCCCCCGGTGGCGAGGTTTCTTGCAAGGCGCAATCTTTTCAAGACGGGTGTATGATTTGCTCAGTTTTTCTTTGTTAGCTGATCATATTATGTTGATTTATTTTCTTGAAAAAATGTCTGAAAAGCAACCTCTCTTTGTCAAACTTGTTCATGTTATTGGGAATAAAGATAGAGAAAATCTTCTCAAAACTTCATCTTGCTAATGAATGTACATTCTGTACCAATTATGTACTTATGTCCTGCAAATTCTTTTAGCAAGATATGGCATGACAAGATGACATTTCTTTAAACTATTAACAATAGAGATGTTTCTTTTATTATTCTATTGATTTCAACACCATCTTATTGGTCAGAAATTGGAGCTGTGATCATTTATTATTAGATACTGAGGTTTAGTTTTACATTAGCCATGGAGTGCTAAAAGTGGAGCTAAAGCTTGCTATCTAATGGATCTGAAGTTATAGGAATGATAAAGTGCACATTATGTTAGTAAACTTTCTCTCTTCTTTCTTTCAGCAGAAAACTGCTTAAAGCAGCACATATCGAAGGCTTCATGGGTTTAACTGAATACCAATGGAGCTCAAAAACTGTGCTACATAAATAATATTTGATCGCCCATTAAGCAATATCATCCTTTTGTTCTCTGTTTGCTACTCTCCAAGCTGGATTATTGCTTGATGGGACATGACCCTTATGTACATTTGACTACATAATAAGATTGATTTTTTATTTTTTTTAAAGTGGTTGCCAAGACGAAGAACTAAGCCAGGGATCAATTTGATCGTCCCTTTGTTTGGCCACCAATCTCGCTCTTTAGCCTATAGGGGTGGACATATGTTAAATAGCTGGAGACTAAAACACCATACAATGTTAGTATGATTTTCAAAGTTCATGAGATTTTGACACGAGTTGTGGGGCATCTTAATGTGGTTATGGTGATAGTCGAACATTTCTTCTTTAACTCTAAACTCACAATTCTCAAAGCAAAACCCTAGATTTTAATTGGTTTCTTGTTTATTCTATTTTGTTGTTGCACTAGCACACATATCGAATGGCACCGTACAATAATTTTCTTTCACAAATAAGAATTCAAAAAGAGTTTCGTTTTTAAATGACCTTACACGATCCAGTTCCTCTTATTAGCTTTTGCTCAACGACTCGGTCGATACGAATTGTGAGGTGACTAGATGTTAGAAATGATCGATCCATTTCTTTTATGTCTGCCATGAATAAAGCGGGTAAACCACAGGCCGGTTCAAAGCTCGCGGTTCTCGCCATCTCTACTTGTATGGTGTCACTCGATATGTGTACTAGTGCAACAATTCTTTAAGGGTGTGTTTGTTTATAAGTTTTTTTCAATCCATATTCAAAATCGAATTCAATTTTAATTCAATACTATTATTCTGAAGATTATCAATATAATTAAATAATACAAATGAATCGTTCTTATACATTACATCAACTCAGATTCACTATTCATCCATTCACGTGACTCTAACTAACTATCATTTTGTATCCTCTATTTTTTATTTTTAAATCAAATCAACTTTAATTATTTATTTTAAATATTATTTTAATATACATTCAAAATTTCAAACAACTAACCATATTATTATTACTATTTTTTTTTTTAAATTAACCATATAAAGAAAAATTGGATAATACAACAGCAATTTCATCTATTTCCTAGACAAAACTTTTGGCTGCCCGCCGAAGAGTGCAGCACAAGGACATACCAAACTAGAGCTTCTCACAATGTGCTCAATTTACAATTTTGCTAATTTGTTTTTACCAAAATTAGGCTGACATGCAAAATTCAAAAGTCCCATTGAAACTGGAAAATTCAAGATTTGTAGCAAGTACGAAGTTTTTCTCCGTTTACTCAAAACGCTCACACGGCTCCATCATAGATCATTCCTATAACGAAATCCGATTCAAATGCTCGAATTCCTGGCAATCAGCACCAATATCCTTCAAAGCAGCAAAGAGTTTTGGTACAACTTTAACAAGCATTAGCTTGAAACCAACTGAATTCGATTTGGTATTCCCATCACCGCTAGAACCGTCTTTTGTCAGCGAACCAATCAGGTGACCCTTCATATACGCATCACATGCCTTAAGAACATAAGGACCCCTCTTCCTGAAATGCTCGGTCACGAGTTCTTCAAAGTTCTGCAAGTAAATCGAGTTATTACACCACAAGACTATCCACCACACAATACACAATAAATAAATAAAAAAGAAGGTTTGTTGGGTAAAAAAAGTTGAAATTTGTCGTAATTCTTACCTTTGGGGGCTTTCTCATCAGATACATCATCGTCTTGCAGTTTAATAAGAAAGTGTTCTCATTATACGACAATGAATTTTTCTCTCCTTAGGCTGTCCCAACTTGTTTATCATATCCAGCTCCGTTAAAATATGGCCTGGAATTTAGGACGAGTCCCTGAAGGGAAACCAATTGGTGTAGAGTATTATTATTATTATTATTATTATTATTTAATAGGTGTCTTAGAGAGTAAGTTAGTAATTTAATATTATTGTTTAATATTTAATAAGAGTTCTTGTCTTGTTGACAAGTTAAGATTTAGGGTTAGGAGCCTTATATAAAGGACTTCCTCTAGTTTATTTTGATTAGTTGATTATTGAATGAAAAATGAGATTGTGAATTTTATCGATTCGTTTATTTTTCCCACTCATATGTTTTCCCTACATCAGTTGGTATCAGAAGTCAGCACGATTCACGATGCTGTCGCGACGACAAGATGCTGCAAACGACAGGCGTGTCGCCGCCATCTACAACCTGAGCCGCCGGACCGAGTGGTTTGTCCGCCAGCTCGAGACGATGGGTCGTGAGATTGCAGATCTGTCCGCGGAGATCGGGGATATACGTCTAACTATTCGTACCATGGTTCGGGACAAGAAAACGTACCGTGACGCCGGCAACCGGGGCGTGCGCGGGGGATTTCGCGGAGGAAGTGGAGGCCGTGGTCCAAGCGGGGCGCCCCGCCGGAGATCTCCACAACCACCGTCCGGCGACGAAGACAGCGAGGAGACAATCTTGGAGGTGAATCCCTTCGACGATTTTTCACCCCCGCACGTCGAGACTGACCCTTCATTGCATACGGCGGCCGTGACATGCGGCGACGGGGCTCGGTCTTCGTGGATGGCGACAATCAACGCGACGATAGAGGCAGGCGCGAGGAGGCTGCCTTCGCCAGCGGATATCGTGCCAGACACGATTGGGGATTTGATCGCGAATATGGTCAATGGGAGGGCCCGTTTCGCGTTGACATCTTCGAATTCGACGAAGAGCAAGTTGACGGGCCATTGTACGATGGTCCGCCGGTGTTTGATGAAGGACCCGAGGAGGTGGAGCAGTGTCTTACTGGCGAAGTGGACGGTCTCTATGACAGTCCGCCGATTTTCGATGAGGAGCCTCCGAGGGCAGAGGAATTTCATCATGTTCCGGATATCGAAATTCAGCTGTTGGAAGAATTAGTAGTTCTTCTGTTGCGCAGGCCCGAGCTTTTCTCTCACGGGAATTTGTTACGGCCTTGTATGCTGTTTTTTGGTCCCCACAGTGACTTCAAAATTCAGTGTGTGGCGACTGCATATATGCCTTTCCATGAATTTCAAGGGGGTGATACCATGGAGGTGCGATATTCAACCTTCGTGTTCGACAGGGGAAAACGTTGGGGATTAATACCATGAGTTCGCCTCCACACCAGCCACGGAAGCGCGTCGGCTTCGAGGGCGAAGCCTTCCGAACCGGGGGAGAATGGTGTAGAGTATTATTATTATTATTATTATTATTTAATAGGTGTCTTAGAGAGTAAGTTAGTAATTTAATATTATTATTTAATATTTAATAAGAGTTCTTGTCTTGTTTGGACAAGTTAAGGTTTAGGGTTAGGAGCCTTATATAAAGGACTTCCTCTAGTTTATTTTGGTTAGTTGATTTTGAATATGAAATAAGATTAGAGATTGTGAGTCTTGCGTGTTTTACGAGAGAGTATCTCGTTTACTCGTTTATCCTTCCCACTCGTACGCTTCCCTACATCACCAATACTTGAAGAATGCTTGAGGTTGAAGGATCCCAAACTTCATTTCCTCTACCTGTCCAGGTATTCAAGAGACTGAGGCAAACTTTACCTTCTTCATATAAGTTCGGATTTATTCGCCATCCTCCAAAGTGATAATATGCTGACTGTAAAAAAAAAGGGTTGGTTACTTGAGTAGAAATAAATAAAGCTTATAGAACACAAGAAGATTAAGAGTGACATGGGAAGATAAAGGTGACAATAGGATATAACACTTAATAAGAGAAATATCCTCAGGTTTATGCGAATTCTACACACACGCGAGATGAAATATATATATATATATATATATAAATGAATAGGTCGATGATTACACCAATTTCACAAATTGTACCTTCAATTGGGGAATATTTGCGAGGCATAATGATGAATAGCATCTCTGATATTTGACTTGACTACAAAAATGCTACAGAAGTCACAAAAAATACTTCCCGAATTTTGGAAGTTACAATATATTACTTAGATGTTTGATTGAGTGTAAAAATTAAGGGATTTTTCTTGTTCCTTGTAAATGTGAAGGGAAAGTATATACACTTAAAGGGAAATAAAATATCAATATACATTTTGCAATTATGGATGGTAACATGTAAATTTTCCTGCAATTAGGTCAAACTCAAGTGGTTACTGTTTGCAATTAAAAACTCCCATTTCTAAGCAAGTGCAGAAGTAGAGAGATATCTGTAGAGCTTGGGAGTATTGCACCATAAAAATTTAAATTTATGTACTTTCAGTGAAATACTGAAAAGTAGAATACGAATGAAGAGGTTTTCTTACAGGCGGAACATCTGGATATTCTTGTGGAAGTAGAAAATCAAAGAAGAAAAGACCATCCTGATAAGGCGTCCCATAAGCTCCAACTATCACAGCTCTCAAAAGATCCATTCTATCTTCATAGACACGTACATATATGGCCTCTGTTTAATAGCACTTTTAACTTATCAAGACAACTTTGATATGGTTCAAGAAGTTAAATAGGATTAAGATGACACAGAATTAAGAAAACGGCAGCAAGAAGCATGCCATACCGTACCAGGCAGGTTATTTTGAAGAATGTCCCAATCCCATTGAACTTTCTTGAGCCACTTCCTGGCAGAATTGTTCTGTAAATTTCGAAAAAGGGCACAATTAAAGGATTTTTTTTTCGGTAAATAAGGGATAACTAGAAGAAAAGTAAAAGAGGCAAGACAATCAGATTAATTACATTTATACTGCATAGAAATGGGACTTGCGAGTAGCACTACTTACCTGTCCCGGTGTACCAAGAAAATAATGATCAACAGGGTCTCAACAATATCAAATCCTTTGAATTTTGAAATAAATTCTTCACGTGTTGGTGCATCAGACTGTGATAGCTTTAGTTTGCAAAGAGTCTCAGCAACTAAATCAGAGGAGTCAGCAATATCTTGCCCCTCTCCCTTAGAATTAGTGATGGGATTAGAAAGTTGACTTTCAGTATCATTAGGTATTCGAGAAATGGATTCACTATCGTGATCTTGATCTAAGGTCGAATCATCCGATTGAAGATCATCTCCATCCGAGTGCTTTCTTCCCCTAGAAAATATTTCTGGTGCTAGGCTGATGACAAAACCAATTGCAGCTAGAGGAATCGAGAGAGCCCCATTTTTTCCAGAATTTTCTGCACCAATATTGTTACTTTCAACATCGGACCTCATGGCACCAGCATTGCCTGTCTCGTGTTCCTAAACCAAGACATGAATACCTCAATAAAGAACTTAGAGAGCATTAGTATAGGAACAAAACATGACTTAACTTACAATGATCACATGTGCTATAACAACCTTCCACCTACTCAACAACCTTTGAGATATATGATATGATGACTCGCATATATAACAGAAACTGGAAACTGATAGAAATTACACAGATGATATGACAAAAAAGTTAATGTTGAAATGATAAGCTGATAAAATCACATTTGATATTGAGTTCTAGGTAAAATGCTTATGAACTGCAGGGCAATAAGACATCTGTGATTATCTTTCAAAATTACAATTGTGGTGCCAGATAAACCTATAGTGACGTACATGTCTTTCCACTTTATATTAATCACTTCTTCAGCAATAATTAACTTTCAATGGCATAACTATTATTCCACCAAAAGCTCATAAGTTGCAGAATTCTTCAAGTCCAGATTCAAGTGTGCATGAAATTTTCAGATAGACTCAAAGTTCAGTTATCCACCTAAGTAAATATTTGCAGAAGTGATACCCATGTGCTGGGTCTGAACAATGTCTCAGTGTCAACTTATGCAAGCCCTATCTGAGGATGACATCGACCTTCAAAAGAAAATAATTACACAGACAACTGATCAAGATGGCTATTTACCTCAGCATTATTCATGTCATCTTCGACAGTTTCCCAGCTAGCCCCACCATCGCTACCATCACTCCCAACTGCAATGGACTCGTCATCATATCACCAACAACATATACAGCTTGAGGACCAACCTGACATAACAACAAATCTTTTCATTCAAAACAATAATAAGGGAACAATAAATATTGACATTTCACAAGGTGGCAGAAAAATTACGATAGATATCATCCCGTCAGCCCATGTGACTTCTATATCACCATTTTTCAGCCCCGTGATGACCCCGACCCAAGAGAGATCAGAAAATCCAGTAGACATGTCATTACCATTCTCTGCATTCCTTTCCTTCCCACTCTCCGCATCATCTGAACTAAGTATTGGGTTCTCAACAGAGTGCACAAAAGAATTCATCTTGTCTGGTAAAGAAATAGGTGACAGCCCAACAACTATATCTCCATAGCAATAACCATAGTCGGGATGCCTCTCAAGCTCATACACACTCACCATTTCCTCTTTGTCGAATTCCCGAGGATCCTCAGCCCTGGCTACGGGCTTCAACCACCTGATACAAGCCGTTCTATCCTTTGCACTGACACTTTTTACAAACCCAACTCGTCTGGTCTCAAAAGCATCATCACTATCAGCTGCTTTCTCCACCACATACTGCTCAAAAACAAATTCATGATTCCCAGGACTATACGTGGGGATTAAGGATGCGCTGTCCAGGCCTCGTTTTATCGAGCCATCCTGCCAGGCAACGTCAACTTTTGTGTAAGTATTGATAATCAAGAGCGCTCGTTCGAAATCCTCTGCTTTCTTCCGTGATTTCTTGTCCTTTCTGACCACCACTTTCCGGATCTTTTTACGATGGAGAGGCCACGTGTAATGCACAGCTTCCTTCGAACTCAAATTGGAATTATTTTCAGCATTTTTTCCCATTGAAGCCTCGGAACTGTTTCCCCTCAGCTTAGTATCCCCACCCAACTCCATTTCGGTCGATTCACGTTCATCCTGAACACTACCATTAGAATCTAACTTGGACGATCCCTCGGATAATGGAAGCATACACCAATCCCCCATCAGCCAGCTTAAATGCGCGAAACATGTCAACAACTTTAGATTCTTTGGAGCCTGCTCTTCGTCGGGAGTTGAGCCCGAATCCGGCCCATACCCAGCAGAAGCAATCCAGTAAACGAAAACCGACCCCACAGTAACTTTCGTGACTGTGCCTTCTAACCGGTTGGCTTTCCACATTCCGGACAGCCACCTCGAGTTTTTGAAAACCGATGACGAGCTTGCCTTGACTCGTTGTCCCGGGTAACACGTGAAATGGCCGTCATCAATGAAACTCTGCCAACCGGCTTAAGATGCATCTTGTCGGCTTTCATCACTCTGCAAGCCGAACCATCGTCCAACTGGACAGTCACATTATCAAAAACAACTTCAACTCTACCCAGCCATGGTCCCAACACCACATGATCACCCACAATAATATCTCTAATGCGCCTCAACTCTCTGCACGGCTTGTTTTTCAGAATTGACCCGTCGTGCGTTAATAGATCAACAGTGAAATCAACATCAACCACGATGCCTATCTGGGCCGTTGGGTTAGAGGCAGCAGCCACATAGTCACCGTGCAAGAATCGTCTGTCGATGACTTTCACATTGTTGGCGTTCTCAATCGTCTCAGGCCCATCCATCCAGAGCACCCTGACCTGGTCAGCCGCAAGTGGGCCGGGATTGGGGGTATTATCGTCATTATCCTCTGAGCCATCCTCCTCGCCTGCAATCCTGCTTTTGTCCACTTCAGCATCCTTGTTAGACTCATCGTCTTCTTCATCATCATCCTCATCTTCATCGTCATCATCGGACATGCTGACATCAGAATCCGATTCTCTGGCGACTTCTGCCACTATACCAATCCTGGGGCTAGTTTTTCTTCTCACGACATCTCGTCTGTAGATGTAAGCGACGCCCTGAAGGTTCTTGAGAATCTCGTCGGGTTTTGATGCGGCATCATTCCTATTGGTCGACGAGGGCCCATTAACATCCGATTCTCCAGAATGTCCCTTGGATTCCATCTAGCAAACCCCAAAACTGCATTCAAGAGATTTACAGATAGTTACAGAAATGCAGCACAGAATTCGTTTCACTCGGTCACACACTGATGATATCAAATCTAACCATCAGACTTCCTTGACATTTACCTAGTTATTGACATATGATTATTATTTATACATTGCAGATAAATAACATAGCAGCTCAAACTTCGAAAATTGCATGTGTCAAAGGAGCTGAAAGTGCAATAACGAAACATAATGAAATCGCTAGTACAGCTAGAGAAAAATCTAACATGCAAAATCCCTAGATATCTATGAACACAGTTTCATTCAAATATCAACAAATTTATAGAGCAAAAAAACAAAACATGACATACACGAATTTAAATTCCAGAATTGGTGAATAAATCGGGCGCGCGGAGAGAAATGAGAAGAATAATCCTATCGCATACCTTCGAAATACAGCTCAACGCCGGCCGGAAATTGATTGATCGGAACGAGCGGCTCCGGCGTTATCTATTAATCGTGAGAACAATTTTTTTTCATTTTCATTTGTACACTGCAACTTGGAGAAGTGAAAGCTAATATAGAGCTTATGAGAGAGGCAAACTCAGCTCAGGAGCATTCCTGTCATTATGCACGTACATTTCAATTATTCATATGTTGTGAAGATTATTACAATAGTGTTATGAAAATATAAAATAATGTATGTGAATGACTATTTTGCCCTCGATGTATTTGTATTATTACGAGTTGTGCCATCAGAAGTTTCCTATAAATAGGACCTTCAGTTATAATGAAAATCGTACCTAAGAGAATACATTTTCTCTATTCTCTCTCTTTCTCTCTAGTTTTATAACACGTTATCAGCACGAGTCTCTGCCCTCTAGAGCTCGATATGTAATATAAGAAGAGTATGCTCTACAGTTGCGTCTTATAGACGAACCTCTGTATCAGAAATTCGAGATGGCATTAGATGAATTATCTACGAGCTAAACTCCAGGAATTGGATGGTCCAGATGCAAGAATTGCAAATTATTTTGATGAAATAGCGGGAACAACAAGCACTGGTATGTTTTTGGAAACAATGATAACAACTCCTGAAATATGGAGATGAAGGAAGGTATGCCGAAGAAAAAAAAAAAAGGTTTGCAGGTATGTAACAATTGGAATTCTACTTTTATTTTGTATGATAAACATAATAATAGAAGGTATGAAAAATGATTGTCGGCAGGAATGTGAAATTTATAAATAAGAATTCATGAAACTAGGAACATTGAAAATGTTGAACACGAAGAAGAAATTGGCGTCGGCATGTTTACAAAATGATTCATTGTCTTAAAATCCAATTGCCACCAAATTTATGAGCAATGACAAGTCTCATTTAATATGTTTCAACAAGACAAATAGTACCTTCCTTTAATGTGTTAGGATGATTATTAAATGAGGGCCCCTTCACTATTTGTTCATCTCGTGGTCATTTTATGTAAAACAAAAACGGTTGAGATCAATTGCACCCACAAAGAAAAATTAATAAAATATTTACTTGATTGATTTAATTGTAAAATGGTGTTTTGCCAAATATAAAAGGCAAGAATTATCAAAATATATTTTTAGTAAATGCATACTACTCTATTTGACGATAGCTTCGATTTAAGACCAATATTGATATGGTTTATTATATGATTATAAAATGTTTGAATTAGTATATTGTGAAAATTATTTGGTACGTGGAACATGTGGATATATGTGGATTGACCCTTGTGATATGAAAATAAATAGGTGTTGCTACATAGACCGGTCAGTGCGGCTCTGCCGCCGGCAGGTGATATTTAATGGTAGCCGACGGGTCAACTGTTGAAATATGAAAAATCATGCGAAATGACTGAGCAGTGTATCCACCGAAATAAGATTTGAACAACTAAGTGAACCGGTCAGTGTATTGAATAATGATGACCGGTGATGGCCAAACGATAAGCGTATTTATTAATGATAGCCGGTGATATAGAATGGCCAGGTGGCAAGGCTACGTGCAACAAATGAATGGCTATACATGGGCCGGCCAGTGCGGCTCTGCCGCCGGCGACAGGCAGTACTAATAAGTGATAGTCGATGAGTGAAATTAATGATACTCTGGCCATGTGAAAGTTAATTAAAGTCCTTGTCGTGAACGGACATTATATGGACTAACCTGATCCTGAAGAAACAGTTGATAAATTCTTCAAATTTATTGATGTAGAAACGAATATTGATGAAGTAGTACCAAAAGTTACTACATAATGATTAAATGATATTTGGTATATAGGTTCTGTAAGCTACCACATTATGGTGATGAAATGATACCAGAAGCTATCATTGGATGATTAAACGAATGAGAAAGTGGTACCAAAAGTTACCAGTTATGGATGATCACACAAAATGATTTCTCAATATATTATATGAGTCTAAGGGGCTATATCAGACAACGAGATCATATTGAAATACGAGATCATACAGATATTACAATAAAGTGCTCCGGAAGAAGCACAAATGATAATGATTGTAGTCATGAACTACTATACACTGAGAAAAATCGAAATTGATATTATTATTATTGAGAAACAAGTACAAAATGTTCAGATGATGGAAATATGGAAAAGAGGCAGTAAATACTCGATGAATACAAAATATGCAAAGATTACATAATAGAACCCATAAAAGAAGGGTGCGTCTCGAGAGTGTAAAACTCCGTAACTCTACCACCCATGAATGATATCTGGGTTCATATTTGAATAATATCTGGGTTCATAATGAGAGATCTAAAGGATCAAAAGCTCTTTTTCGCTTGACCCCTTGTGTTTCCACAGAATCTTGAAATGTGATGCATTCTTGAAGCTTTTTGATAAGTTCAGCAGACGTGTCAGCAGATTTGAATACTTCTCTCATTGAAGGAGATATAAAGGTTTGATATACTCCTATGTCTAAAAATCCAAGCAAACCATGAAAGAAGTTATTAAAGTTCAATAGACCTATGGGCTTGTTATGAAGTTTCAATTCTGCCCATAAAGCAATGGTGAACATTGTCATTAGCGTTCCATACCCGCCTGGAAGAATGATAAAAGCATCGCTATTGTTCACCATATCCATCATACAATCATGAATGGAATGAGTTAACATCATGCTTGTGGAATCCTTGACGACCTTTGTTGAAACTCTACGAAAAGGTATGATACTTTTCACTTCTATCTCAAAACATTGTCCAGCCATTAAGAGACTATCATAGAAAGTACTGCTAGTCCCTCCATACAGCAAATTGATTTTTTGATTCCCCATCTCTTTGACTAACTGACTTACAATATCAATAGTTTGAGAAAAACTTAACAGTTTAGAACCACCAAGAACACATATGGTTTTGATCGGTTGAAGAAAATTATTACCTTGCGAAGACTCTGAAACGTCCATCTATTTATTGATAAACTGAATTTTTCAAAACTTTGTGAGGCATATGATTATGATGAACGACTCGCTATTTAAATAGAAAGTTTTACAAAGCAATAAATAATTTTACTGTTTTCTTCTGACAATTGCAACTGACAGATAAGGTGTTGGGTTTTAAATAAATCTTATCTGTCGGCAACTATAAGTTTTTCTAGAAAATTACAGTACAACATACTAAACTGTATTAGTATGATTTTTCGTACTAACAAGACCAGTTTTACAAACTTGATCTTTTGAAATAATATTTTCGAGACTATAACGTTCTTCTTCATTTTTGAACTGAATCCATAAAGACATAAGCTCACGATGCACGTATCCACTAGGATGTGTCTCAAGAATCTGTTGAATCGTTTGATCCAAAGACTCCTTACTCAATCCATCCTTTATAAACGTTATTTTATCTTCTCGATTTTTGGACACGTACCCCACAGATATACATCGTGTGTCACAAGTCCATCGAGCGCATTTGAAGCATCCACCTAACCTTTTTGCTCTTCGTTTCTTTGCATAAGTACTTTTACCCATACCTGGCATATATTTATATGAATTTGGAAACTCTCCAGACAATCGAACTTGTGCTTCGATCAACCATCTAACATCATTTGGAATACCATTATTCATTAGCATCCTCAATCTTTCTAATCGAGATCGATAAATCCTTTTTATGATATTTTTCGGAAGAAAAGAATAATATTTACGGATATTTGAGAGTGCTAAATCCATTTGTAAATTCGGACCTTTGTTAAAGAAAATTGAATGAATTACCTGATAATTTATAGAAAAATATGATGCGTATGAGATACGACTCTGGACTTAAACAGTGTTCAAAAGTATGTGTGTCAGACAGCATGATACGATTCTGGATTTAAACAGTGGTTAAAAGATATTATACCAGAGCCTACACTTAAAGTGCATTTATTGCCGCCGAAAGATGATGTGAAATGTTTGTGATAAACATGTCACAACGAATTATTGTGATCACTTTAAAAATGTTTACCGATATTATTGATGATGGTTTGCATGATGAACTTATTCTTTGTGATATGAGATGCTTGTTCCCGATTGGTGAAAAATATTACTAGCTAAATATTTGTGAATCGATATATGATCAATCTGAGTATGAAAGGGGTACGATATATATGGGCCCACTACCCCTCCATGTGTGCTACTAGATATTATGGATCCACTAGATAGCCACATGTGTGTGATTCGTAACCTGAAGTTACGAGATGATTTGATCAAAGAATGTGTATATGACATGTAACCTGAATTTACGAGATGGTTTGATCTAAGGATGACACAAGATGATTATGAAAGAATGAAAATAAGTGTCATATGAAAGTGATGAAGCTAGTAATATACTCACCTGATATGATGAACTCTTGAAAGAAAAATGTGCACACTACAAATGATATGAGTTCAAAGTCCTCCAAATATATGTTGAAATCAAGAACAAAATAGAGACTATATGAACTCCCCTCAAGAAATTCAATACTAAAAATACAGATCAGGAATCTGTTAAGATGAGGGAGAGAATCAATGATTGAAATTTGGAAATGATATATGCATCACAGTGAAAGTGTGCAAATCATAAACTATATGATACTGATGATGATGAATTATATGAAATGATATGATAGTGGAATAATACGCTGGAAGCATTGGTATTGTGCAAATTGAAATTCCCCGAATAAGTGATGAAAGAGGGTATATTTACTATTGTTGAAATCAATTGATAATGAGATATCTCAATATACTACGGGGAATAATGGAAATGAATAAGTGTCGACACAAACAAATGAATAGCGCTATATAAATGATATTGACGAGAATGAAATCAGCTGAAATGTGAATATTGGGAACTATTGGCAGTAACACCATTGAAATCAATTGATGATGAGAATGAGTTTAAGAATAAACGTTGCACAAAGCATGATATGACATATTGTCATGAATACCATCAGTATCTGAAAATCTGAACGAATTTATATGATACTCATACAAATTATGGAAAGATTATTATGGTGAATATATGAAATACGCGTTGTACTCTTTTTCCCTTGGCTAAGGTTTTGTCCCATTGGGTTTTCCTAGCAAGGTTTTTAATGAGGCAACAAGGATAGCGTATTCACATGAATAGTGTACTCTTTTTCCTTCATTAGGATTTTGTCCCACTGGGTTTTTCCTAATAAGGTTTTAACGAGGCATATTCATGGTATCATGAGCACTATTGGATAAATGATATGATTCCTCACGGTGATAAGAGAGACTGGAGTAGCTGTACTCTTTTTCCTTCGATCAAGTTTTTTCCCACTGGGTTTTCTTGACAAGGTTTTAACGAGGCAGCGCATGGATATTCCACTAAAGATGATCTATTTGAGGGGGAGCTATGTTGTGCTTCCACAATGCTCAGGTTTTGTCCCACTGGGTTTTCCTGAAGAAACAATGTTATGATTTCAAGATGATCAGGTTTTGTCCTACCGGGTTTTCCTGACGTGCTGAAGCAACGGTACCTGATGGCCACAAGATACACTTGAAGATGTGCAGATTGGGCTTTGTTCAAATCAATTTAAAATATGTTTAGAAAATAGTCATTCAAGGGGGAGTGTTATGAAAATATAAAATAATGTATGTGAATGACTATTTTGCCCTCGATGTATTTGTATTATTACGAGTTGTGCCATCAGAAGTTTCCTATAAATAGGACCTTCAGTTATAATGAAAATCGTACCTAAGAGAATACATTTTCTCTATTCTCTCTCTTTCTCTCTAGTTTTATAACAAATAGCACATAATCAAATTCATATATAATCAAATTCTTAGGATTTTTTTTTTTTGAAAATTAGGTTCACTAGTAATTTATAATTTTATAAATTAGATAATGTCAAATTGCTACCAGATGAAAAATTACATCAATGCTCGAACATTATATTAAAAATAATAATATTTTGATAAATTCTGTATATTACCAATGCTCAATTTGAGCAATTATTTACAAGGTGAATGTTTGAAATCACTAGTATTCAATACTGTGTATTTTTTCACAGATGTAAATAAAGTATTATAAGTTATTATATGTTTATAATATTACAATATAAGTTAGATAATGGTATATTTTAAACTTAAAGTATTATAAGTTATATTTATGCATGTAATATAAAAAATATCAGTTAGATAATGATATTATGTTTTAAAATTTGATCATTGGTTAAAATAAAGAGTACATAAACGATTTGATTGTATATGAATCACTATATTGATTGCATAATGTAATAAATAATGTAAGTTTTGTTAATTTTAAGGGATAATGACCAATTAATTAGTTGAATAAAGATATTAAATTTATTATTACAATTGGTTATGCAATTTTAAGAAGTTTTTCTATGACATTAAAATAAATTAATTATTTAATAAATAATCACTTAATCAGACAAAAAAATATGATGATATTGATTTAAGAATAAATAACTTGAAAAAAAAAATTACAATATATTTTTTTATGTTCATTCAACTTTTATATATCATTTAGTGTAACATATAATTATTAATTTTAATAATAAGTATTATATGTATAATAAAAAATATAATTATTATTTAATTAATATAAAATGTAACATTTTTTGTTTTAATTAACCCAAAAAAAGTGCAAAAAAATATTTTATCATTAATGGGATAGGATGTATTAATGTAAAAATAGTAATTAACAACATCGGATTGTAACGATTTTTGAAGAGAAAATGACACATAATAAATTTTATTAGGTTTTATTTTATGATTTGCCAGCAATTATATATATATATATAAATTTTGTTGGCTTTATTTTCTAAATGTTCTCCCTATAATCATAAAATGAGTCGTTGTTGGTTAAGATAAAAAGAAAGGAAAAGCATAAGTTCAGATTGAAGGATGTGCTTAGCAATAATCAGGAAAAATTAAAATAGTTTTATTATTATTTAGGAGGAAAAAAATGCATTTAAGTGCAAAGGGTTTTGGAGTATTAAAAATGAATTGTTTAATTGAAAGAAATTAATAGAAAATACAAATCTGAAATAATGCTCTTGAAGATATAATAAACGAGTGAAATTCGAGTTCAACTAAAGTCTTAATCGAATCGAGCTACGCTCATGAGTTGATAAACGAGCTTGAATTATAAAAATTTACATAAATAATCCCTACATTAACGAGTCTAACATTGCTCATTTACCAATTGAAGCGAACCGAATTTACGAACAGTTCGTTTCATGTCATGGGAGCAAATACTCGACGCACCACCAAATTTGCTGTTCACATTTGATTAGCAAACTTAGATGAGAATGACTCTCACCATTCACCAAGTTTGCAAAGTTTAAGATTCTACTATTTACCTAACAAGAAAAACCCGATTTCAATTCATATTAGAGTTGTTAATTTATTTTATAAGTAAAGTGTTACTTATTTTAGATATTCCTATTATGTATATAGTTGCTATTCATTGTAGCAATTTTAGTTAAAAGGTCATGTATAGGCTGAGAGTATAAATAGCTTAATCTTGTACACAAACCCTAGTTTTTCTCATTATTCATTCATTTTATTTTTTCTCTCGCCGCTTCTCTTCTCTCTCGTCTTCCTCGTTCTTCATTTCTTCTGCAACAATTTCTTCAGATTATTTGTAACAAACTCGATAATTCATGAGAGCAAATATTCAACGTACCACCAAATTTGCAGCCCCCATTTGATTAGCAAACTTAGATGAGAATTGGCTCAAAAGATTTTACAATAACCAAGTTTGCAAAATGTCATCACAATACACAAACACATTCATGTATAATCGTAGATAAAACGTTTCGATAAAAAGACCCGAGAAAAAAAAAAAAAGATATCGCACGACGCACGATAATCATCAAGAAACCCCTAAACGAGCTTACCACAATCGTAACTAGTCTTCTTCAACAACAAACCCGTCAAAAACCTAGCCATTATTCTATCCCGAACAAAGTTCATCACAACCCCATCACTTTGTTGCATCAATCCAACCACATACGACGTGCATACAAGATCAAAGTCTCGCCACTTTCGCTCTCGACCAAATTTTTCCAACCCCAAACGAATCCTCCATTGCTCGGTTTTATCTTCACTGCCCAACCCTTTTCCCTTCATGGCCTCGGCCAAAAACCGAGCCAAAACGACACTATCCTCAAGCGATGAACATCCTCCTTGTCCCATATCGGGAGTCATTGGGTGCAAAGCATCTCCAAGTACACAAACATTGTCTTTGCTTATATTCCCCCAAAGCAATTCCCACGCGCGTCGAGACCTTAATGGGGAGAAAACCATGTTTTGTAGATCGGTTTTCTCGACAACACATTTGATTTTGTCAGGAACTTTACCGAGTTTGTTAAGTATGAGTTGCTTCAACTTGGTCGGGTCCTCAACGATATCTTTCTCTGCATAAGTTATCGAGATATAATCTCATTCACCGTGTTATAATGTACTTTATAAATTTCGAGTGCCATGTAAAAGTGTACCTTGTGGAGATGGACTAAATGTGAAAAACCAATAAACCCCATGATCGTCGCATGGGATTACGCCATATCTTACGCCCTTTCCAGAGAATTGCATAACCTTCGGCTCAAAACCGTGAGGTTCGTTAAAATCGAAAAATCCCCTAATTGCCGATCGCCCCACGAAAAAGGGCTTACTAAAGCCTAGAAACTTTGCAACTTTCGAATTTACTCCGTCACATCCAATCAACACCTTAAATTACATACTAAATAAATGTTAGGGGGCTCGAACCAAATAACATTAGAGCATTTATACATAAAGTTCACTCGATAATTGTCTACTAAACAAGAATTGTTATATCAAATTAAATTACCTTAGTTTTCAAAATAGTTCCATCGGCAAGATGAAGAGACTTGAACGGGCCATCATCGTTTTCGATACAAACCACTTTGGAAGAGTACCGAACGGTACCTTTTGGGAGTTCGTTTTCCATTGTTTCTAGCAAAATCTTTCGGTTCACACAATAGATATCAGGACCTCCCCTGAAATATTTCATATGGGACATACACACAAACACACTTGTGACTTGTGAATAATACTTAAAAAGCTCTTCGATTCTTTTTTTTTTTTGAAAGAAAAAAGAAACTAACAGTGAATCTTGAGCTCCAAAAGATAGTTCTGAAGTGGTCACCCCCGAATTAACCGATGCCGTGACAATGCTGAGACAGAACAGATAGAAAATAAAGCAACATTTTGAAGAATACATAAATTACGCTACAATAATAACATAAAAGGATGACATAATAACACGTGACACAATTGTCGAAATAGCTTAAATTCATAACAAGAAGACGTAAAGAAGAGCATTAATATATAATACCCATGAAGCTTGTTGTGTTTGGCGCGAAGGATATTTCCTATGCCGATAGCATCTAAAGCCTTCCAAGCATTGCTCCACATTATGAAGGCAAATCCTGTTGTTCTCAACTCATCTGCTGACTCCAAGACTAAGCTCTTTATTCCCAACCTATATATATATTGTATTGGTTAGATTTCGGTTAAAAACCAAAATAATGGACCGAAAATATAAAGTTCGATTTGGCTATTTTCATATGTCAGTTCGATTATCGGTATTTTTTTTTTTTTTTCTAAATTTTAATAAAATTAAAACTTACCAACTGAAATCTTTGAATAACATTGAATTAAGGAGAGAAAACTTTAGTAGAAGTCTGTCAAACTTTAAGGTGCATTTTGACTGGGGAACTTTGAAAACTTTAACAACGATTTTGATAAAGTTCGAGAGAAAATTATTTTCTATACATATATCTTTTTTAAAAATAAAATTGAAGATATCTTTTGGTTTGGTCAAGGCTAAGAAAAACACCAAAATTGGGTATATGAATTGTTGAAATCCACTACTAAAAGCGGTTTATTTTTTCAAAAAATCCGAACCAATATTTATTAAGTCATGATCGGGCACCAAAAGTGAAAATCAGGTATAAACATAATTTGGGTACAAAAATTTAATTTCCCCCCCTAAAACTTATACAATGAGATTATTAATAGGATGATGATATATAATGTACCTGTGAAGCCCCAAAGATGTTGCAAGACCTGCTACTCCACCACCAACAATCACTATATCCTCTTGGCTTCCCATTCCAAATTTTAAAAGTTGATTTTAATTGAGATACTTTGTTTTCAAAGAGCAGTATAGAATTTTAGAATATAGTGCAAGAAAGAAATCACTGGATTTATATAGCTTAGATTAGATGAGGATGAAGCTTATGACTTCACCTTCTATATGAGTCAAATTATTATTCAAATTGTAATAATTCAAATTTTATCCAACTAATAAATTACTAAAGGACAAAATATAGGTGCGCTGTCACTAATTATTGAGCATTTTTTTAACAATATTCCACATCATCATATAATACATGACAATCTTGATTTCACCTTTATTTCATATTATTATTATTATTATTGCTTTTTTTTCCTCTTTGTGCTTCAATTTGAATTTTTACTTTTGGATTTTATGAGTGAGGTAAAGATTATAAATATATACACAAACGCTAAATGCATAATAATTAATATAAACTATATATAAGTAACAATATAATACAATAAGACAAGACTTACTGTTAGACAAGTCTAACAGACAATCATATTTTTTCAATAAATATGTATTTATAAATTAAAATGTCACTTTAAATAATATTGTTAAAAAAAAAGTATGACAATCTATAAATGTACCACTTACATAATTTTAATTAACCACTACTTCACATTATCTCTTTCCTACTTTTATATCAAATCAATTTTAGTTATTTTCTTTTAAGTATTATTTTAATATAAAATCAAAATACCATTAACAACTAATTATACTATATTTTTCAAAATTAATCATAGTTAACAAACAAAACTCATTTTGAGAAGATATATTTGTATGTAAACACGCCCTTAAGATTTCCTTTAGAGTCATATCTCATTTTTACGATTGTTAGTTTTATGTCTTTGGATAATTAGTTTTATTTGATAGTTTTAAGATTATTGTCTACGATTGAAAAAGAATTGAGCATAACTGCATGTGGGTTTGCTTTTGTTTTGAATAATGTTCTATGGGGGTTTTGTTATATTGGAACCGAGGAAAAATCTTTGTATCAAAGATAATTTGTCAACCAAGGTCCAATAAAAAAAAAAAAAATCGTGATCAACGTAAAACCTTGTATAACGTAGGTAACACGTTATTTTCTTCTTTCTCAAGACTCAATTTTTTGTAAAGCATCCAATAATTACCAAGAACTTTCATCACATGTGGTGCTTGACTTTCAGTTTAACATAACAGTGTACTACTAATTTATTTTTTATCAATTTAATTTTTATCAAGTCCTTATTCTTCACTTTTTTTTTTCTTTTTTTTTTCTCCTGAGGGATGGTATAAAATTTAATCGAATACTTTTTGGTTTAATGTAAAAAAAGAAATTATTTGAAATCTTTTTATGTGGCACTTGTTATAAAATGTTTATTTGCTATGTATAATTTAATAATGTACAACATAATACATGCACTTATTACGCACTCAATTATTTAATGGACATATTTTTGTGATATACATAAATTCGAAGCTCATGGACTACATAATCGATAACAGTAATCGAGAAGATACTTAATAATTTATTGTATCATTTGAGTTAGGTTATAATAATTTATTATCGTTTGGAAAAAAAAAAATCGAATAGATACTTAATACTTACTAAAGAATTTAGGGCTGAGCACGGGACTTGGTGATACCGAATTGTTCTGAAAATTGAACCCAATTCACCCCGAACCAAAAAATATCCGTTGACTATTTGACTTTATCCGAACCGAACAATACCGAAAAATTATTTGGTATGGTTCTAGAGATTCATAAAATATCCGAACCGAACCGAATCGAAAAAGCCCATACCGAACTGAGAACCGAACAAGAACCGATTTTAATTCATAAAATTCATATAAATATAATGTCATCTTATGTTTTTTTTTTTTCATCTTTGTACATAGTTGTATTTAAAGTTGAATTGCAAATAAAATCCATATACATTAGGTTTATGTTCATAAACTATCATATATTATATTTAAAATTGAATTGCAAAAATCCTCCACCATTGAATCTTAAAAATGATTGAAAAATAATTATTTTATTTTTTTACTGCATGTGAGGCATTAGTTTGAAAAGAAATAAAATTAATATACTTTTCCTATCTCAAATTTTGGTAACCAACATGGCAAATTTATTAAAAAAATCATTAATTATAAAACAAATTCAAATTTAGAATATTTGGAAACCTGCCTTAATGAAGAAAATCTTTCACAAAATTTGAAGAAAAATATTTCTTTAAAGATGATATATTTTCAAATAAAAATAAATTGAAAGATATTTTTACCATAATATCTATCAGTTTTATAATAATACTACGACACGTCGACATCCACTGCTCGAAGACGGCAAAGGTTCAATGCTTTTTGGTATTACACATGTATTGATTACAAATTTACAACTAATATGTTGTATGGAATTGTGCTTTGTGAATTATGGGATTTGTATTTGGAATTATGAGATGTGAACTCTTGGATAATGTGTGTTTTAGTAATACTAATCTACAATTGATTTTTTTCTGTTTTAAAAATATTATTTAAAATCTTTATATGATGAAGTTTTAAAGCATATAAAAATTAAATTATAACTAGGTAGTCATTCAAAAAAATAATAAATTAAGAATCTCCGGATATTCGAACTTACTAAACCGAATCGAAGTGTTGATATTCCCAAATACCGAACTGAACCGAACCGAAAAATAAAATTTCCGAACCGAACTATCCCAATTTTTTGATACCGTTACGGAGATCGAATTTAGTGATCTCTGAATTTTGGTACGGTTCCGAAGATTTGTCCATCTCCGAATTATACCGACCCATGCTCACCTTTATTAAAGATAGATGTGTAACCTGTTCTAATTAGTGCTATATATAAATTCAATTGGTTATGATACTGTCTTCAATATATTAAATCACAAACAAATTTCTTTGATATCTATTGGAATGAAAGACGGTCCAAGATGATCAAGTTCGTGTTCGCTATAAGAAACTTAAATAATTCTTATGATTTAATCTAATGCATTGTTGATTTTCTTATGGTTATTTTTTTAGGTTGATTGTTTATTGTAATTATACTTGATTTTATGTTAACGTGTATATATGCGTTAACATTTTATTCATTTCATTCCAATTCTCATGAGTGGAGTCAATAAGTCATGGACCATATACATGTTGATCGAATAAAGAGAATGGAACTAATAAATAATGGCAATGATTTGCTACACATTGTATACAATTTGAACATGATAACCACTACGGACACATGCAACATAATAGATATTAATTAATTAAGGATTGATTGTTTATGAAATAATTTGTTCTAAATAAGTTATTTTGGTTAACTATAGTTAATTTTGAAAAATGTGATATAGTTAGTTGTTATTTGTCAGTGGAATTTTAAGAATGAATTAAAATAATATTTAAAATAAAATGATTAAAATTGATTGATGTAAAAGTAAGAGATAATTAAATGATATGAAATGATAGGTAGTTAAAATTATGTGAGTTGATGAATAATGAATTAAAATTGATGTGATGTGTTGGTTTTTATTATTTAATTATATAAATAATATTAAAAATAGTGAAGTTGAGTTAAAATTGAGTTAGATTTTGAGTATGAAATAAAATTGATTAAATTATTTCATAAACAATCAAGCCCTAAGTGATCCAAATTAAATGGCCTGCTTATGAACCGTTCGTCATAATTAAATTTTTGTGATAACCTCAACGAGAAGCGTAAATAAAATTATTTGGTCTTCATAAACAAGTTTATTATTTCGATTTATTTTTCCTAGTATAATTAGTTTTCTACAGTTTTGATGCTTAAAATTAATATTACAGGTCTTAATATTTATTTTGTGAAAATTTGAGAAGGACATAGTGATGCTCAGCAGTATGTGAAATGAGAAAGACAAAACGACTATAGCCCATCCACATCAATAAATCCTCTAATTTCATTAGCTAAACCGTTAATAAATAGATTTTGTCAAAAAGAGTTTGCAATTAATAAAGTTTAAAGTTGAATTAAACTCATCAACATTATTTTAACTAAAGATCGTTTATTTATTTATTATTATTATTATTATTTTATTTTTTTTTGCGGTTTGTTGACTAAAGGAAAGATTCTTTATTGAATATGAATATCCATAGCTAAAAAAAAAAAAGAAAAAATCAATAATGACGCGTATATTCCCAAAATTGAGCTCACATTTTATCTTCTACTGGCCGTAGGCCTAGAATTTAATACTCGAATCGACTGGTGGCCCAGTAGCCTTGATAAACTTTTACGTGGTTTTCTGAAATTTTAACGTAATTCAACTTGTGAACTAGATTGGTAAAAGCTCATTAATTAATGAACCCATACAGGAGTCCATTTATCCCTTTAGTAACTCAATGAGCCAAGCTTGTTTCAGCTCGATAAAGGCTCGAGGTCGGCTCGACTCGTTTACTGCTACTTGTTCGCAAAATATTTTCACTACCCGCAAGTGTACGGTATAACTATAGTGAGTGGCGAGCAAGATCGTATTCCACAGAGATTGTTATCAAAATTAACCAAGTATCAAAATGTAAACGATTAAATATTATTTAGTTTAAAGCAAATTTGAATGGTGATTTTATTCTAAACTAATGAATGATTGCAAAATAAATTCTAACACTAATGAAGGCTTGTTCTAAGATAAATCAAGAATGAGAAAATAGATTTTAGGCTATGTTTTCCTCAGGATTATTCTAACAAAGATTTCCTATTCATTCAAGCCTTATTTAATTCTACCATTCGTAGGGATAATCACTAAAGTAATTTACACCTTTCTCTCGAACAAGTTAAATCGTAGATATTAATTGTTATCTATCTCCTCTCGGTCTCAAGATGAACAATCAACTCCCATAAGCTCCTAAGATTCTAGTTCCCTCGCAAGATTCTATCAACCTCTCGGTCTATTTAGTCTCTTACGTTATGAATTTCCCAATTCTAGCAATCAACTATCTCCTCTCGGTCTCAAGTCAATCACAAATATGCATAAATACGGGCCATTATATTCACACAATTAATAAAAGCACAAGAAATTGATAAACGAATGATAAACCGGAATGAATAAACAAAATCACTTAATAAAATAATCTGAGTACTCGCAAATCCTAGAATCCCTAAAAGGTTTA